TCCTCGTGTCTCTTTGAGTCCTGACTCCCATTGCTTCAGAAGTTTCCTCCACAATGCGTAAATCGTGAGAGAATTATAATATATATGGTGGAAAGTAATGCGTAAAAGGTAAAGGTATAAATAATAGACTCAGGGACAGTTTCAATCAGACTATTGACCACCTGAGCTCTGTGAAGAACATCCATGAGAATTCATCTGTTCTCATCAAACTATTTATTTATCTAAATAGTTATCACCGTGATAAACCTTATTTAATTTAATCTTACTGTACAATATTACATTTTACATTCTGTTCTTGTATATATCATTTTCTATTTACGTGTATATAGACTAAATATAGAAACATTTAAAGTAATGCAGAAATGGTAATCAAAATATTGAAGTTGTATTGGTACATTTAGTTTGGCACACAACACAAGACAAAGTCAGAGGTTGAAACATATGACCAATAGGAAATGTAATCAGTAACCCCATTCAAGTATCACAATAAGTACAACAACTTGATTTAACCCCAGTTACTTGTGGATGAGCCCAATATTCAATGCAAAGCAAATAAAAGACAAGAGAACATACTGAATATCATATATCAAGCATCATCAGTATTTCTGTTTAACCTGTTTAGCCCTGAGCCTGTTTTTCAGGTCTCAGGCTCGAAAATATCAAATGACCATAACTTCACTTCTAAAAGGGTTAAATTAATCATCTTTTTTCTCAAAGCAATGATAAACCTGTGAGTTGGATGTAGAAGAGTCAGAATCAATATAGAATTTGGTAACACTTTATATTAAGGTACACAAATTCACCATGAACTAGTTGTTAATTAACATGCATATTAGCAGTATATTGGCTCTTTATTAGTCATTATAAAACACTTATTAATGCCTTATTCTACATGACCATATTCTCCCAGTAATAGGTCATTAGTTGAGAGTTTTTCCTCAATAACCCTCTAATTAGTGCTTATTTATTGCAAGTAAGGAAGTTGTTGTACATGAGTTTTGGTCTTAATATGCTCTGCTCAATATGGGCCTAATAAGGCAGTAGTGCCACAAGAATAGTAATTCTCCCTTAATAACACAACAAATATGATCTATTCTTATGTAACAAGACAGGAAACTATAAGTGTTAATTATGTCTAAATAACTCAAAATTAGGCATTTATATCTAAGAACATGTTCCCTATTCTAAAGTGAAGTCTTGTTCATAACCAATAAGCTAGTAGTTTGACTCTAATTGACCTGAACAGGTTCCCTATTCTAAAGTTGCCTCCTCTTCACACTTTGTAAATACATGATAGCACACAACTACTGAAATTAACCTCAACAGCACATGAACAATGTAGGCACACTTTGAAATATCTGTTTTATTAATGACCCACTATAGAGAGGTTCAGACACATACCAAAAAATGTCAAGTTTCTCCAAGGCTGAGAACACATGCAGCCTGTACTTTTTAATAAAAACAGATTTTTAACAGATTGTATATATTTGTGATCATACTGTGTGACCTGCTTGTATGTACTTACACAATAGGTGTACTGTTCTCTCTATGTGTTGTACTGTCTCAGTGTGAACATAGATTAAAGAGCCAGCCAAACTCTTTTGAGAGCCAGGGAATTAGCAGCCATGCTCCTTTATTGACTTATTTGCAGTCCACTGACATTCCAACGGAGTGAAACTATAAAAAAAGACGATACAAGGCACTTAATGATCTCATACATGCAAGTGTAACATACACAGATTAACACATAGGACCGCTAAGTGTAAACAAGGTAAATATAGCTAATGCTAGCTGTGCAATAAGCATGTGTACAGGCTAGTATGGCTAACGCTAGCATGTATGCTAACGCTAGCATGTATGCTAACGCTACCGTGTATGCTAATATTTATTTATTTATTTTGTTTAGTGCGAAAGTGTAATCTGATCTGACAAAATATATTAATCACCACTATTTAACACATGTCTGGTCATTGGAAATATAAAAAACAATCATTAATTGTACATCTGTAAACATCTGGTTATTCAATTAAAAGTTCATCTTTGTACGAGAGCTGGGAGAACATGTCCGTCAGTCTTCCTGACTCGTTCTCCTCCTCCCTTTATGACACCGAGTGTCTCCCTTACGCAAAGAAAATATATTTCCCCATATATTAACTGTCAATATATTGCATTATTTTGTTTTCTGATTTACTGGTTAATTGAAAAGATTTAATAAAGGAAATCTTGCTGTTGGCTACACCAACTGATACTGATTAATAATCAACATGAAAAACATATTTATTCATATCTACAAAATATATTGAAGATATATAGAATAATATATTGTGTTAATATATTACAATATATTGATATATAGAATAATATATTGTGTTAATATATTGCAATATATGGGATAATACATCAGTAATTGCCGCTTTCCATATATTGAGTAATATATGTAAATATATATAATATATTGGTTGTGTATATATGTGAACATACATTTACTGTATATTAACATTTATATGGGGACATGTATATACTCTATATTCAGATTTATATGGGGACATGTATGTAGTATATATTCACAATTATATGGGGACATGTATGTAGTATATATTCACAATTATATGGGGACATGTACTATATATATTCACAATTATATGGGGACATGTACTATATATATTCACAAATATATGGGGACATGTATGTACTATATATTCAGATTTATATGGGGACATGTATGTACTATATATTCAGATTTATATGGGGACATGTACTATATATATTCACAATTATATGGGGACATGTATGTACTATATATTCACAATTATATGGGGACATGTACTATATATATTCACAAATATATGGGGACATGTATGTACTATATATTCAGATTTATATGGGGACATGTATGTAGTATATATTCACAATTATATGGGGACATGTATGTAGTACATATTCACAATTATATGGGGACATGTACTATATATATTCACAATTATATGGGGACATGTATGCGCTATATATTCACAATTATATGGGGACATGTATGCACTATATATTCAGATTTATAAAAGACCATGTACGTGCCATATATTCTGAACATGAGTGCAATATGTTCACAATGAGGAGAAATGCATGTTCTGATAAAAAAAATCTTTCATTTAATTTCAAACCTTTATTTATGCAGGTGAATCCCATTGAGATCATTGATCTCTTTTTCAAGGGTGACCTGCTGCAAGTAGGTTCCACATGAATACATATAAACATAACAGAAAAACAAAAAAGGACATCATACAGCATATTTACAGTGACTACAGTTTACATAGCTAGTAACATTTACAGGTTCCAACAGTTTCCGATTGGATAGCATCTATCCTTGCTTTAAAAACATTTAGTGGAACCAAATTGCTCAGCTTCCATTCCTTTTGCAGACTGTTCCAAGTTAGCGGAGCTGCGCATCTAAAAGCTATCTTCCCTAAGACAGTCCTAGCAGTTGGCACATTTAATAAAACCACAGCATTCGATCTCAGGCAGTTGCCACTTACAATTCGCCGTGAGATCAGGGAGCAGATATAAGATGGTAGTTTATCCAACATGGCTTTGTATATAAAAATGTACCAGTGACTGAGCCTCCGTACAGTTAGTGAAGGCAAACCTGCCCTTGCTGTGTGTGTGTGTGTGTGTGTGTGTGTGTGTGTGTGTGTGTGTGTGTGTGTGTGTGTGTGTGTGTGTGTGTGTGTGTGTGTGTGTGTGTGTGTGTGTGTGTGTGTGTGTGTGTGTGTGTGTCGTTCGGGTGCACTGCGACAGCATTTAGCACTACATCGAGATTAAGATTAAACTAACTTCTTTTGGGAACACATATATCTATGGAGTTGGCCAGATGTGTGTAAATTACTGTTCATGGTAATTTGAAAACAAATGCCGTTGTTGGACACACCGAACATACACACACACGGCGGAGCTGAGCAGATCACATACACACACACATCATGCGCCTTTGTGACCGGACATTTCCTTCATACAACGAGTAATAGGGGGAATAATCGGGCAGTTCGATGTGTGTGTGTGTAGAGGTGTGTGTGGTTGAAACGTAGCAGCCTGCAGTGGTGAACACAGTGAAGGCGGTGTGTACGCGCTGGTGCTGCACTTCTCAGAGGCTGCCTCCTGATGCTGCAGCCATTTCATGAAGTGAAGAAGGTTTTACAAATAAAAACATAGCTCTACACCCCTGGCCGCAATGTCCTTAAAAGGAAGTCCGAGTTCGAAATATATCTAAAATAATGTATGCACTGCCATTTCCCCACATAAACATAACAGTCTGCGATGAAACGGTTGTCTCCTGTGTGCTCCACTTCCTATTGGCGCACCGGTAACTTTCTCGTGCGCACAAGAGGCTGAGACCTTATGCTGACCAATTTAGATTTATTTTGTATGTTTTGGATGAAATCATATGACTGGTATAGGTGCGGGAAAAAAAAAAAAAAGTGATATATTGATTTTTATATATTTATAATTCTGCAAATATTACGATAAACTCACAGCTATTTCGCGGCCCGGCAGTAACACCTCCCGGACCGGGGGGTTGGGAACCCCTGCTCTAGTGGGACGCTAAAGAAGAACTGGACATCTGAAACTGATGTGAAGCTAAAGAAAGAGCAAACTGATCCATGAACTGGAACCAGAGAGAATCTGCTATAACTCACTTTGTTCATTTTGACTTGTTTGTATCAGGAAGCAGCGGAAGAAGAAGAGACCTAAACGTAAACCTAAACCTGGACCTGAAGATGGACCTGGACCTGGATCCAGCTGTGTGTCCATGAAGAGTGACAGGTCTATGGATCCCCCTATTGTCTTTAAATCTGGACTTCCTGCAGAGGGAAGGTGTGAAATTGTTTAAAATGTGAGCTTGATCATAAATCCAATAAAAAGAAGAGCACAAAGATGAATTCTTCTTTATTCGTATCAGGATCCAGAGACCTGGACCTGGACCTGGACCTGGATCCAGCTGTGTGTCCATGAAGAGTGACTTTTCTATGGAGTCTCCTCCTTACTTTAAAGCTGGACAAAGTGCTGATGAAAGGTAAGCATTTAAAACTGGACTCTGTTACCATCTGACTCTCTTTGGAGAAGAGTCAATCCTGCTCCAACGTACCTCTCTTGAGTTGGTTTCTAATGACTTCTATTTATATTATGAATCATATAATGAGCAAAGACAGATGACTCTACCAAATTAAGACATTAATCATGGATTGTTTTAGACGACCCCCCCCCCTTCTGTTTGACGGCAGGCAGCGAGCTGTTAATGGCATGAAGGGCGGTGTGAGGTGTCTGGTGGTTTTATTACTCTGTTCTTTATCAGTATCAGGATCCAGCAGCAGAGACCTGGACCTGGACCTGGACCCCGCTGTGAGTCCATGAAGAGTGACTTTTCTATGCAGTCTCCTATGAACTTTAAAGCTGGACAAAGTGCTGATGAAAGGTAAGAATTTCAAACTGGACTCTGTTACTATCTGACTCTCTTTGGAGAAGGCACCACAGATTGGTTCAGATCAGGCTCCAGATAATAATGGGGCTTTCTGTTCCTCGCACCATCAGCTGCTGGGAGGCTTCTGATGGTCGGACGCTTTCAGGCCTCAGTAATGTTGGCCCCCCCCTGCCTGCTGAGCCACAGCACATAGAGCGAAATGAGGCATGGCTAAAATGCATGATCTGTTTGGTATTTTGAAAACAGAAACGTATAAATATACCTTATATAGGTATGGCCCTACAATATATCATTTAAATATAGCATGATAGGTCCACTTTAAGTTTTCCGCACTCTCTCAATATCTGAGTTAGATGGTCCGTGAGTGTTTTTTTATTGGTTAAGTGGTCCTTGGTATGAAAAAGTTTGAGAAACACTGCGCTAGTGGATTGTCAACGGGGGATTCTCGCTGCGGGGAAATTATACAGATGGCTAGCCCGCCCCTGAAAAATGTCTATGCACACGTTATTATTAATAATAATAATTTAAAAAATAGATTAAAAAAATATATATATATTTTTTTAATTTTCAATTTTAATTTTGTAATCATCTCACGACCCCCACTCGGGGTCTCGCGAATTTTGGACAGGAGCCTCAAGTGATAAAAACTGGACTCAACCACAGAGTTGATCTGTTTATCTCATTTAAAAGCACTGTCGATTTTGACGCCCAGATTAGTGACCATGGGTTTTGCATACTGTTGCAGGGAACCCAGGTCAATGGAAGGGACTTCACCATTTGGTCCAAACTCAATGACCTCCGTTTTGCTCTCATTTATATTTAAAAAGTTTAGCGCCATCCAGGCCTGTATGTCATTAAGACAGTCAACCAGGGCCATCAGAGAGCTGGTGTTTTTTTTAGGGGTAGGTATATTTGGGAGTCGTCCGCATAAAGGTGGTACCTTGGGGAATCCACAGGATAGGGGGGCAGAAGACGATGCAAATTCACCAAGCCTAACAGAGAAGGATCTCTGGGACAGATAGGACCTGAACCACTCTAAGGCAGTGCCCCTGATACCCACACAGTGCTCTAGACCAGAGATAAGGATGGAGTGGTCAATCGTATCAAAGGCAGCTGTGAGGTCTAAGAGCATAAGGATGGCAGAGTCACCAGAGTCTGTAGTGACCAGGAGGTCATTGAATACTGTTAGAAGGGCAGACTCGGTACTGTGAAGCGCTTTAAAACCGGACTGAAAAATATCAAAAATATTGTGTGCATGTATAAAAGACTGCAGCTGTAAGAGTACGGTTTTCTCCAATATTTTTGAAATAAAAGGAAGCTTCGAGATGGGTCTGTAATTTGAGAAGACAGAAGTGTCCAGATTTTTTTTTTTTTATCAGGGGTGCCACAACCGCTTGTTTAAAATAAACTGGCACAGAACCGGACTCTAGGCTGCTATTTATAATTGTATGGACATTAGATCCAATAGTGTCCCATATCTCTTTAAAAAGTCGAGGAGGGACTGGGTCTGTGGGACAAGATGAGGGTTTTAATTTAGCAACAATGTCACTAAGAGATGACAACGACACAGGTCCAAACTGCTGGAAGACAGCAGTGCATGTGATGTCAATGGAGGGGTCAAAAGAGGGTGGTGAGATACAGGCTCTAATAGTGGAGATCTTGTCTATAAAATAGCAGAGACATTTTTCACACACCTCAGTTGAAGCTTCAATACAAGTGGATAAAGGAGAGTTTAACATAGCATCAATGGTTTTAAAAAGAACACGAGGTTTGTTTAAATTACTAGAAATAATATCAGAAAAGTAACTCATCTTTTCAGCTTTTACAATGGTCTGATTGGTTCTCCAACTCTCTTTTAAAATGTCATGAGCTACATGAAGCTTGTCCTTCTTCCACCTGCGCTCAGCCTGCCGGCATTCACGCCTGGCAGCACGAGTGACTTCATTGAACCAGGGTTCAGATTTAGCTCTGGGGCGCATGAGTTTCAGGGGAGCAACAATGTCAAGAGCTCCAGTGCAGGAAGAGAGAAAGGCTGAGGTTAATTGCTCAGTGTCCAGGGAGTCAGAGGACATAGTATCAGACTGGGCTAGGTTTACAAATGCAGGGGAGAAACTAGCAGCAGTGGAAGGTTTCATCATACGACCGTGACGGACAGGAGCGCATGATTTAAGACTATGACAGCAGTGATCTGATAAAGCTGCCTCACACACATTTACATTTGAAATGGGCAGACCATGGGATAAGACTAGGTCTAATGTGTGCCCATGCTCTTGCGTGGGGCCAGAGACATGTTGTATGAAGTTAAAAGCATCTAGAACATCAAGAAAGTCTTTAGCTAGTGGTTTAGAGATACAACAGACATGCACATTAAAATCCCCGACAATTAAAACGCTGTCATAGTTTGTCACGATACCGGCCAATAGTTCAGAGAACTCCTTTATAAAGTATGTGTTGTACTTGGGCGGTCGGTAGACCACCGCACACAGTACAGGATGAATCCGTCCCAGCTCAAACAGGCTCAGTTCAAAGGAGGAGAATGAGATAGACGGCGTGGGTTTGCAGTATTAACTGCTCCTAAAGACAGTCGCTATACCTTCTCCACGACCCGTGGTCCGGGGACAATGAATGAAACTGCAGTCCGGAGGCAATAGCTCTGTAAAAGCAACAGACTCACCCGCAGATATCCAGGTTTCCGTTATAAAAAGCACATCCACAGCATGTGACGTGAAGAAGTCCTGGATGATGAAAGTTTTGTTTGCGATCGATCTCGCATTTATCAGCGAGCCTTTGGTTGGAACCGGGGCAACAGTCGTGTGAGTTTCACAGCCCAGCGACCGAAGGTTGCGGTGGTTCACTCCATCAGGGCAGGGGGGGGGGGGACCACGCTAGCCACTCTTTCACCCTGACTAGCCGGCCACTGCGTGTGCCTCGGCGTCTCCGGGGTAACGAGGGCCCGCCCCGGAGTAGGTGTGCAGGTACATCCGATAGAAGGGATGTTCCTGCTGTGGCTCAGTGGACAAAAACGTGGACAAAACGTGTGTGTGTGTGTGTGTGTGTGTGTGTGTGTGTGTGTGTGTGTGTGTGTGTGTGTGTGTGTGTGTGTGTGTGTGTGTGTGTGTGTGTGTGTGTGTGTGTGTGTGTGTGTGTGTGTGTGTGTGTTTTCAGGCTGTCAGGATGTCTGGTCAGAGAGGAAGGCTGTGTTTCTCTGGCTTCAGCTCTGAGCTCCAACCCCTCCCATCTGAGAGAGCTGGACCTGAGTAACAATCATCCAGGAGACTCAGGAGAGAAGCTGCTGTCTGCTGGACTGGAGGATCCACTCTGGAGACTGGAGACACTCAGGTATGGACACAGAAGAGGCTTCTCAATTCTTACATTTCCCCTCCTCGACTCCTCGGTCCTCCGGTAGTGACCCGGAAATGAATTTTAGCGCGCCATGTTGAAGAACATCTAATTTCTCTAAATGCACATCGAGGACCGAGCATCGAGCGTCGAGGAGGCTCTCTGGAGGAGCTCTAACCGAGGAGACACTGATGGCTCCTCCACGGTCCTCCACGGATGCATTTCCGGGAACGGTGGAGTCGTGACGCACGGCCGGACTTATCTCAGCCAATGACAGCTCTGCATGCATCCCCTGGATATTATTTTAGTAACTGCTTTCATCGCGACGGCTGTGAGGTGCAGAAAGCAGAGCAGTGTGTATAATATATATCACTCAGTATAACAGGCCTACTCTCTTTATTTGCTTTAGTTTAGTAGATATCTACAAACAAAGAGTCCAGATGTTTCTAAAACCATTTAGTGCTTCACATAATAAAATACACAACGGCTGTAGCCTGATGATATGCTTTAGGACCTGTTGTAGGTGCGTGTGGTACAGTGTGTGCGTAGATGCTGCGGACAGACGGGTCTCAGTTGGTTTGGTGTCCTCTGCTTACTTTTAATACTTGTAAATACAACTTTTGGCCCGTAATTTCAATTCCCCATTTCAGCGACCAGAGAGAGGGGGGGGGGGGGATATATCCAGTCTCTGATAGTGTTACGTTATTATGAGAGTGCTCTCATACTTTAATGTGTGTGTGTGTGTGTGTGTGTGTGTGTGTGTGTGTGTGTGTGTGTGTGTGTGTGTGTGTGTGTGTGTGTGTGTGTGTGTGTGTGTGTGTGTGTGTGTGTGTGTGTGTGTGTGTGTGTGTGTGTGTGTGTTGTGTGTGTGTGTCCGCATCTGTAGCCTGTTATTGTCTCATTATACCGCACTGTCAATGAATCAAAGTAAGTATATAAGTGGTCATGAACACATCTGTCCATCAGACAGAGGGCTGCTGTCATCATTAATGGACGTCTCTTTAAAATGACCGCTCAGAGGAGAGGAGTTCTCATTTCTCTAACCGCCTGCTGCTTCCCCTCCTCTCTCCTCGGCTCCCCTCCTCTCTCCTCGGTTCCCCTCCTCGACTCCTCCGCTCGCATCTCCTGTGGGCGGGACTAAGTCTCGTGGATAGGAGTCGAGGAGGGGAGTCGAGGAGGGGAGTCGAGGAGGGGAAATGTAAGAATTGAGAAGCCTCTAACGTCTCTGTCTCTGACTGAGGGACTCTGCTTCCAGTTTAATGGTGGATTTGAGTGAAGGTGTATGAAGTTGATTCTGACTGTGTTTCTTCCTGCAGGATGGACCATGGTGGACTGCAGTGGTTGAAACCTGGTCTGAGGAAGTGTGAGTGTGTTTTGAGTTTGATTCCTCAGAGCTGCACAGGTTACACTGCACATGAGATCCAGAAACACAACAAAGTGAACACAGAACCAACAGAACCAACAGATACACATTTCTTAACAGAAAGATCTCTTCTTCTTTTCACTGTTATAGGTATATTCTGATATTCAGGGTTTGGAGGGTTACTTTCAAATGTATTCAGCTCCAGTTCCTAAAGACCAGTTTAGAAATGTCCTCAGTGCGCTCCCCCCCACAGGCTCTGGTTACTGCATACAGAGAGTAACACAGGAACTAAAGGGGAACAGCAGATTGAGGCAGTGACATGTTCAAACTAACAGTAGAACTCACAAAGCAGAAATAAAACTCACCAGGTGTCCACCTGTGCATTTAAAGAAGAAGACTTAGGGTGCGTTCACACCAGCCTTTTATTGTCCGGTTGAATCGAACCCTGGTGCGTTTAGCCGCTTGGTGCGGTTCATTTGGGTCGGTGTGAACACAGTCCGAGACCTCTGAAGTGAACTAAACAACCGGACTCTGGTCCGCTAAAAGAGGTGGTCTCGGACCGCTTGCTTGTGAACTCTGGAGCGGTTCATTGCTGGTGTGAACGCAGTCCGCACCAAAACATAGGAAGCGTAGTATTTACGTGTCACAAGAACGCGGATGTCTTCAAAAATCTTTAGCGAAAGAGTCTTTCAAGACATCCGCGGTTGTTTAGTTAAAGAGTGAAGCAGAATTAAGTGTTGAACAGTGTCGTGTAAAGTAAAAATGCTCCGTCAACTAGGCTACATAAAATTAAGAACACCTGTCGTCGGTGAAACGCCCTCCTTACTGCAGAACGTCTCTCATTATATGTGTTATAATGTTTTTTAACGGACGTTGTCTGATTATATAATCATATGCGCGGGCCGCTAGTGTCTGTTGATCTCCAGATTAACAGCAGCATGAGATTAACCTGCCGAAAGTGCCGATGCTCTATGGCGGAGGCTCCGGTACAAATTGCCGGGATTTGCGTTTTTACCCCTTAATTTCTGACCAATGGTTGAACAGCATTTCTGTGCACATGACTTGTGTTTAAAGTTTATAGTCCGTTTGAGTTTTGCCCGTGTGAACGCAAACCGAACCTTCTGAAAAATGAAACGATGTAACAAACTGTGGTCTGGTGCGCACCAGAGAAGCGACTATTAGGTGTGAATGCACCCTGAAAGTAACGTCTCTGAGCACCAGGAGAAGTGCTTTATAAATACCATGTCTTTATTATTACTCTAAATGATAACCAAGAAGCAGATTCAGGCAGTTCCTCTACCTGTTCCAAGTACTGGACTACACATTACACTTTCTTTCAATCTCTAAAACACACTTTTTGAAAGCAGAGCTTATTTTCTCAGAACACTAAACACAATTCACACAAAGTGCAAAACCCCTGATATATCCTGCAGAAAGAAGCCCTGCAGCAGAACTCCAGAAACACTCACCAGAAGCTAACTGCTAACTGCTAACTGCTGCCCCACATGGCTCTCACTTCACTGACAGGACAAGACTCTGTGTCCAGCTACGCACTGTGGAGCTTCATCTGAAGCTACACTTCTACTTAAAGCTTCAACTTTATTCCTCCTGCTGAGGTAGATGGCCATTTTAGCCTGCCCCAACAAAAAATAAAAAACGGACTTTTGCACTTTTGCTTCTGGCTGTACCTACAACCCAAAATGAACATTGACTTAGAAAAAACCACATTAAACAAAATCAACATCTGAGCGAGTAACTGAAAAATACAAAGGAGTCGACCACATTCTGTAAAGCAATGAAAAATGTTTTCCCTCTGTACACAGAAAGGACAGGCATCAGACACTGTAGGGTTGATCACTGAAACAAACGCATTTACCGCTACCGCAGCGTGGAGAACCCTCCACTGGAGGTCCCCACCCCTCTTAGTCAGCGGAGGCTTGTAGAGCGCTCTCCACTCAGGCCTCTGAGCCTCCGTCAGGCCGGGCTCTCCACCGGGTGTCCACTCGCTCCTGGAGTCTGCTCTGATTCAGCACCTTTGTCACCAAATAATAAAAGGTTTTGTTGGACATGGTGCTAAACTTAAAATCAGTGACATTGTTCAACTTTAACAAAAAACCCTCACAACTGAGATCAGGAAAACATAGCATCTCTGGAAAAGAGTCATTGTCATTTGGAGACTTCAGTCCGTTGCCGTGAGCAGCGATCAGCGCCAGCTCTGATTGGCTGAGCTGCTGTTTCCAGCTCTGCAGCAGGAGGCTGACCACCCGGACTGACCTGAGGCTCAGACGTGAGGCCAGGCCTGCAGCGTTGTCCAGGCGGGGGCCACACACCTCCACCACCTGGCCCAGCGTGAGGATCCTCTCCTCACAGAGTCTCTGTTGTAGAGAAGGCCCTACTCCCCACACAAACCGAGATCCACGGACCACCGGCTCTCTGAGGAGCCAGAACAGTGAGCCACAGCACTCTGGTCTCTCTTTTCTGAGTAGTCCCCACACCTTGAAGAGACCTCCATAGAAACCCGAGAGATTATTCAGGCGTAATCCTTTCAGGTCCATTAGGAACAACGACTCAGCCAGACCCAGCCCACCACAGCGCTCCAATAAGGCCCGAGCTACGGGTCTCCAGACCAGGTCAGCAGGTCCAGTCAGGAACCTCTGGACGAACCGGAGCCTGAAAGCAGCCCCTCTGCTTGCCAGGTGAACCAGGCCATGTCCCCCCTCCTCCTTTGGCAGGATCAGGACGCTCTGAGGGACCCAGTGCATGCGATCCCAGAAGAAGTTTGGGGCGGAGTGGCGCAGCGGGCTGTGCGTTTGATCATCAGATCAAGGGGGCGTTGGGGAACTCCAGTTCGAAACCTGCTCCCGCCGCCACTGCGTCAGGCCGTTGTGTCCTTGGGCAAGACACTTCACCCGAATTTGCTCCTGTGGGTATTGTCCACAGTACATGTATGATACTAATGTGTACTTGTAAAGCGCCTTGATGACTTTGAGGTGTGAAGATGGGCGGTGTGGCGCAGTGGGCTGTGCATTGATCATCAGATCAAGGGGGCGAAACCCGCCGCCGCTGCGTCTGTAAAGCCGTTGTGTCCTTGGGCAAGACACTTCACCTGAATTTGCTCCTGTGGGTATTGTCCACAGTACATGACCGTTACATGTATGAATGTGTAATGTGTATCTGTAAAGCGCTTTGGGTCATGGAAAAAGCGCTATAAGGAATTATTATTATTAGAAGTCCACCATGAGAGCCTGCACCCTGGACAGCAGGTTTACGGGCGGGTCGGTGCATGCCAGCCGGTGAGCCAGCATGGAGGAAACAAGGTTGTTTAAAATAAGGATACGCCCTTTAAAGGAGAGGTGTCATGCTTTTCCGGTTATTACCCGTCCCCTTGTGTGTTATGAAGGTTTTTATGCATGTAAACGGTGTGCAGAGTCAAAACCCTCAAAGTACACCCTATAGCGAGTAAAACTCTAACACAGAAAATACCTCCCCAAAACGCCTCGTTGGAGATACGTCACTGTCCATTTGAGTCTTCCATTTCATTCCGGGTACGGCATGATGTCAAGCGGTACCCGGAACGAAATGGACCCATCCCGAAGAGCCGTTACGTTACGTCCGCGGAGCCGTTACGTTAAGCCCCCGCTGATTGGTCCAAATTGACCGATCCACGGACTTCCTCACACACACATCTGTGTGCAGGGAGCAGGCAGCTCAGCTGATTTCTCCTCCCTGGCTGCAGGCTGATAACAGACAGTTGGGATCGCGGCGAAATTCTCTCTGCAGACCCATTCTCTCTGCAGACCCATTCTCTCTGCAGACCCATTCTCTCTGCAGACCCATTCTCTCTGCAGACCCATTCTCACAGCGTTTATCAACCTTTTTCTTACTCAATATCAAGACACACTTATTGTTTTTACTTCGGCTGTGAGTTTGTGTGTGCTCAGGATGAATTTGGCTGTGTTTCGCTATGTATCCTAAACAAGGAAACAACACCTCCACGGAGCTCAGCGCGATTCACAACGTCCCGACCAATCAGAGCACACTGTGCTCACAGGGAGGGTGGGGGCTGGAGCTTTTGGAGCTACAACGAGCCGTTAAAGGCAGAGAGTGAAATTCAGTGAATACACGTAGTTTACAGAGATGCTGTTTGAGAAACCAATGTGAGTTTGGAAAAATGCACAATATAAATCTATTTTAGTAGACCTCAACAATGGAACTATGATCAGTGGAAATGGCCATGACACCTCTCCTTTAAAAGAAAGTTTGGGAAGGATCCACTTCCACTTCTTTAACCGGCCTTCCACTTTCTCTATAAGCCCGTCCCAGTTTTTCAAACAAAACGTGTCATCACCAAGATAAATACCCAGGTACTTTAACCCTGCCCTTTTCCAACCAAGGCTCCCAGGTAACAACAAGCTGTCAATGCTGCCCTCTCCTACTGCTAAGGCCTCACTTTTCCCCCAGTTCACTCGAGCAGATGAGATTTTGCAAAAATTGCTCACAGTTTCAGTTAAAACATTGATGTCATCTTGTTTTTTTAACAAAGACCATTATGTTGTCCGCATACGCAGACAATTTAAAAACATCCCTACAGCCAGGAAAAGAGAAACCCTGTAACTTTTACCTTAACCGGTGTAAAAAAGGCTCTATGGCCAGGGAGTAGAGCATCCCGGACAAAGAGCAGCCCTGTCGGATTCCTCTCTGAGCTTCAAAAGGAGCACACAAACTACCGTTTATCTTCAGTACACTCTCAATGTCCCTGTACAAGACCTGGATCTTGGCTATGAGACCAGAGCTGAACCCAAAAGCTTCCAGCGTCTGCCACAAGTACTGATGCTCAACTCGGTCAAAAGCCTTTTCCTGGTCTAGAGAAATCAGACCAAGCTCACAGCCCAATGAACCGGAGAGGTCCAAAACATCTGGAATTAGAGTCACGTTGTCAGTTATCAACCTGCTGGGTACACAGTATGTCTGGTCTACGTGAATGACATGCTCCATCACTTTTCTCAGCCTCGTTGCTAACACTTTGGAAAGCAGCTTGTAGTCGGTACAGAGTAGAGACACAGGACGCCAGTTCTTAATCTCCTGCAGGTCTCCTTTCTTAGGGAGGAGAGTGAGCACAGCTCTCCTGCAACTCAGAGGCAACCTCCCGTTACTTAGACTGTCTCTGAGCACACTCAGCAGGTCGTCTCCTATAACCGGCCAGAGAGCCTTATAGAAGTCTGCAGGCAGGCAGACATTTAGCTTATCTGCTAAGGAGAGGGCCCGCCAGATTCTTGACATTCAAGGCCTAGGAGACAGCAAGCCATCCCAGCTCATGGAGAAAATGCTGAATCTCCTGGGGGGGGGGAAGATCCCCGGATCTTGTTTATGGAGACGTTCCTGCGCCACTTGCCTTCCCAAGTTCAGACGGCGCTAGCCAACACGTCCATTACGGAGCCCCGCGCCTTGGCTGAAGAGGCTGACCGTTTTTTCCTGGCTACCCAGCAGTCCGGTGCAGAGGCGCTAGCTGTGACGCCCAGTGCCCCCTCACCAGTTAAGAAGGCTTGGGGGAGGCTGGACGCTACGGTGCCAAAACGGCGTGGAGACACAGGAGAGGGTTTTTTCCACGCGCGGTTCGGGGCCAGGGCGTATCGCTCCCTGCAGTTACAAACCTCCGGGAAACGGGGGAGCCGGCGCTCAGTAGTGGCCCTGAGCGTTGGCGGCACGAGCAGGCTTCTCTTCGTCAACGACAGAGTCTCGGGAAGTTTGTTTCTGTGTGACACGGGCGCTCAACGGAGTGTGGTTCCTGCGTCGAGGGAGGACGTCGCTCGTGGGGGACACGGACCACGGTTGACGACGGCTAATGGCGGCCCCATTCGCACGTACGGCGTGAGGCCTATGTGTTTGTGTATTGGAGGACAGCGGTTCAACTGGGATTTTGTGACGGCAGACATTTATTTTCCCCTCCTCAGGGCAGGCTCACGGACTCCTGGTGGACGTTAAAAATAAACGCTTGGTTGATGCCTTGACGTTTTCCTCCCTCGTGTGTACGCTCGGCAAGGCGGCGTACGACGGGCTGTCAGGCTCGCTGTCGGGGGCGGACACTTTTCTCAGGCTGTTGGCTGAATTTACAGACCTGACGCTGCCCACCTTCTCTGCGCTAACCACCAAGCATGGGGTGGAGCACCACGTCACCACCGAAGGTCCCCAAGTCTACGCCAGGGCCCGGCGGTTGAACCCTTCTTAGCTTGCAGTAGCGAGGGCGGAGTTTTCGACCACGGAACGCCTGGGTATTGTCCGTCGGTCTGACAATCCTTGGGCCTCTCCTCTGCACGTCGTTCCCAAGCCAAACGGCGGTTGGCGCCCGTGTGGGGATTACCGCCGTCTCAACGACGCCACGACACCTGACCGCTACCCGGCGCCGCACATTCAGGACTTTTCAGCGCATCTGGCCGGTACGCTGGTGTTTTCTAAAGTGGACCTGGTGCGTGGATACCACCAGGTGCCCATGCATCCCCTGGACATTCCCAAGACGGCAGTGATAACGCCGTTTGGACTTTTCGAGTTCCTGCGGATGCCTTTTGGGCTCAAGAATGCCGCTCAAACGTTCCAGCGCCTGATGGATTTGGTGCTGCGGGACTTGCCTTTTGTGTTCGTCTACCTGGACGACATACTCGTCGCCAGTGCTTCTGTGGAAGAGCACCTGTCCTACCTCCAAGCCCTTTTCACGAGGCGCAGCCAACACGGGTTGATAATCAATCATGCAAAGTGCCAGTTCGGGGTGTTTGACATTGACTTCCTTGGGCACCGCGTCACCAAAGGCGGTGCAGCACCCCTGCCGGCGAAGGTTGAGGCTGCTGCGGCGTTTCCTCGCCCGCTCACAGCTCGGTCGCTCCGTGAGTTCCTGGGGATGGTGACTTTCTATCACCGTTTCATTGCCCGGGCCGCCCACATTATGCGGCTGCTGTATGAGGCGTTGAAGGGTAAGGCCCCCATCCAGGAGATCGACTGGATGGCGGATGCTGAGGTGGCTTTTAAAGAGGTCAAGACCGCGCTGGCTCAGGCGGCCCTGTTGGCACACCCGTCATCCACGGCTCCCATCTCCATTACCACAGACGCATCGGACTACGCTGTCGGTGCAGTGCACGAGCAGTGGGTGGAGGGCGCTTGGCAGCCACTCGCCTTTTTCAGCCGTCAGTTGACGCCCAGGGAACGCAGGTACAGCGCCTTTGACCGAGAGCTCCTTGGACTCTGGCTGGCTGTGCGGCACTTCCGTTTTTTGCTGGAGGGCCGTGAGTTTTACAAAAGAGAAAAGGTGCTACATTCACGCACATTGTTACAGATGTGGAAAGGAAAACTTTGAGGAAAAGCTCCTCACTGGGTCTGACCTCTGCTCCTCCATCTCTCTCTCTCTCTCCTCCTCCCTCTCTCTCTCTCTCCATATATCCATTGCTGTTGTAAGCAGTTCTTACATGAAGCCTTGTTCTAGTGCTTCCATCCTGATTGCTGAGTCCACAGTAAAGCAGTTCAGTCTTTATGGTCATGTGACATGTGTATTTATGAATGGTTCATGTGTGTAGCATGTTTAATGGCAGTGTTTTGAAAATGGCAAACTAGTGAATATGTCAGATTTCTGTGTCTTACTTAGAGAACCGTGTGCAGTGTTTTACAAAAAGTGCAAAGTTGGGTGCAGAGCTGAAAATGTGTTTAGAGTTTTGAGCTCAGGCTCTTTGAGTGTGAGTTTAACTAATTATGCTTTATGTGAGATTTTAGTGTGTTAGCAACTGAAACTGTAATATCATTGAAACATGTTCCTGTGAAAGCTTCTTCACATGAGACTCTTTGGATAGTGACAGTATATCAACAGCTGGACGCTGATGCTGTTTCCCTTTTCTTATCTCTTATTTTACAATAATAAGTATTAGGTCTGAGATCATTGATGGATCACCTACTGATGAAGATCAGGTTGTTAGACATCATTCACAGTAAATATGAGACGTCAGTCTGAATGACTTCCTGTCAGTGATTGTCAGTAAAGTAGTTAATAAATGAACAGATGATAACCTGCAGCTGTTCTCTCCATCAGATGCCTGTGAACTGGAGCTGGACACAAACACAGTAAACAGGAACCTCAAACTGTCTGACAACAACAGGACAGTGACATATGTCAGATACGAGGAGCAGGTATATCCTTTTCATCCAGAGAGGTTTGACTTCTACGTACAGCTGATGTGTAGAGAAGCTCTGACTGGTCGCTGTTACTGGGAGGTCGAGTGGAGAGGAGTGGTTTTTATATCAGTAACTTACAGAGAAATCAGCAGGAGAGGAAAGAGAGAGGACTGTGAGTTTGGAAGGAATGATCAGTCCTGGACTCTGGAGTGCTCTGATGGTCGTTACTCAGTCAGGCACAATAAGACAGGAACATTCCTCTCCACCTCCTCCCACTCCTCCTCTGGTAGAGTAGCAGTGTATCTGGATCATGCTGCTGGCTCTCTCTCCTTCTACAGAGTCTCCTCTGGCACACTGATCCACATCCACACCTTCAGAGCCACATTCACTAAACCTCTCTATGCTGGGTTCGGGACTGGGCCACATGGTTCCTCAATATCTCTGGTTCCTCTGCAGGTCTGAGAGGAGAGAGGGGAGAGGAGAGATGAGCAAGGAGAGATAAGAGAGAGGAGATGGAGAGATGAGCGAGGAGAGATAAGAGAGAGGAGATGGAGAGATGAGCGAGGAGAGAGGAGAGAGGAGGGATAAGCGAGGAGAGATAAGAGAGAGGAGATGGAGAGAGGAGAGAGGAGAGAGGAGATAGGAGATAGGGAGAGGAGAGGAGATAGGAGAGAGGAGGGGATTTTATACCTTAGCTGGATCTCTTATGACGCTGATTTTTAAATGCTTTGACTAGTGATTGCCTTAAAGTAAATCTTTAAGCTGCAAGCTGGTTTTGATTGTATAGTTTGATAAATGAGATTAACTAATGATTAAATGTTAAAACATATTAGTTTAAAAATGTTTTGCTGTTATGTATCTGTGATTTTATATGTGTTCATTATTATGCTTTTGACAAAAAGATGCTCCAAACACCGACGAGAGATGAATTCTCTGTTCTGATTGGCTGTCTCGATCATTGTGATTGAATGTTTCAATCTTATCATGTTGTTCTTAATGTGATTGTTATTGATGTAATTGATGTTGTGTAAGTCCACACTCAAATCTGAAGATTCCCATTGATTTAAGTATTGAACAAAATATTATTAGACTAAGGTTTTGTTTATCAAAATTGATAAAAAGAGAGGAACTGTTGGGGAAATATTTTCCAAGCCCCCTAACTGTGACCCAGTGTATCAGTGTGTCCTGACTGAGCGCACACACCTGTAACCTTGGCTGCTGTGCTCTCAGTTTGTTGTCTCCTTGTTCCTGCCTGTTGGCGTCAGCTGATAGAGGTGTTATCATTCTATCTTGTTATCCACAATGTTGATTATTCTCTCTGAACTAGCTAAACACACGGGTCTGGGGGAGAGTTCTTCAGAATTGATTGTAGCATCTCAACCTGTGGTCAACTCACGGCCCGTGACATGTCTTGTGAATTCTCCGGCTGAAGCTCCAAATAAACCGTCAGTGTTTGCCATCAAAGCTCCAGCTCTCCTCGTGTCTCTTTGAGTCCTGACTCCAATTGTTTCAGAAGTTTCCTCCACAATGCGTAAATCGTGAGAGAATTATAATATATATGGTGGAAAGTAATGCGTAAAAGGTAAAGGTATAAATAATAGACTCAGGGACAGTTTCAATCAGACTATTGACCACCTGAGCTCTGTGAAGAACATCCATGAGAATTCATCTGTTCTCATCAAACTATTTATTTATCTAAATAGTTATCACCGTGATAAACCTTATTTAATTTAATCTTACTGTACAATATTACATTTTACATTCTGTTCTTGTATATATCATTTTCTATTTACGTGTACATAGACTAAATATAGAAACATTTAAAGTAATGCAGAAATGGTAATCAAAATATTGAAGTTGTTTTGGTACATTTAGTTTGGCACACAACACAAGACAAAGTCAGAGGTTAAAACATATGACCTATAGGAAATGTAATCAGTAACCCCATCCAAGTATCACAATAAGTACAACAACTTGATTTAACCCCAGTTACTTGTGGATGAGCCCAATATTCAATGCAAAGCAAATAAAAGACAAGAGAACATACTGAATATCATATATAAAGCATCATCAGTATTTCTGTTTAACCTCTTAAGCCCTGAGCCTGTTTTCCAGGTCTCAGGCTCGAAAATATCATTCCCAGAACAAATGACCATAACTTCACTTCTAAAAGGGTTAAATTAATAATCTTTTTTCTCAAAGCAATGATAAACCTGTGAGTTGGATGTAGAAAAGTCAGAATCAATATAGAATTTGGTAACACTTTATATTAAGGTACACAAATTCACCATGAACTAGTTGTTAATTAACATGCATATTAGCAGTATATTGGCTCTTTATTAGTCATTATAAAACACATATTAATGCCTTATTCTGCATGACCATATTCTCCCAGTAATAGGCCATTAGTTGAGAGTTTTTCCTCAATAACCCTCTAATTAGTGCTTATTTATTGCAAGTAAGGAAGTTGTTGTACATGAGTTTTGGTCTTAATATGCTCTGCTCAATATGGGCCTAATAAGGCAGTAGTGCCACAAGAATAGTAATTCTCCCTTAATAACACTTAACAAATATGATCTATTCTTATGTAACAAGACAGGAAACTATAAGTGTTAATTAAGTCTAAATAACTCAAAATTAGGTATTTATATCTAAGAACATGTTCCCTATTCTAAAGTGAAGTCTTGTTCATAACCAATTAGCTAGTAGTTTGACTCTAATTGACCTGAACAGGTTCCCTATTCTAAAGTTGCCTCCTCTTCACACTTTGTAAATACATGATAGCACACAACTACTGAAATTAACCTCAACAGTACATGAACAAAGTAGGCACACGTTGAAATATCTGTTTTATTAATGACCCACTATAGAGAGGTTCAGACACATACCAACAAAATTCAAGTTTCTCCAAGGCTGAGAACACAGCCTGTACTTTTTAATAAAAACAGATTTTTAACAGATTGTATGTATTTGTGATCATACTGTGTGACCTGCTTGTATGTACTTACACACTAGGTGTACTGTTCTCTCTATGTGTTGTACTGTCTCAGTGTGAACATAGACTCAACAGCCAGCCAAACTCTTTTGAGAGCCAGGGAATGAGCAGCCATGCTCCTTTATTGACTTATTTGCAGTCCACTGACATTCCAACGGAGTGAAACTATAAAAAAATAAGTTACAAGGCACTTAATGATCTCATACATGCAAGTGTAACATACACAGATTAACACATGGGACCGCTAAGTGTAAACAAGGTAAATATAGCTAATGCTAGCTGTGCAATAAGCATGTGTACAGGCTAGTATGGCTAATGCTAGCATGTATGCTAACGCTAGCATGTATGCTAACGCTACCGTGTATGCTAATATTTATTTATTTATTTTGTTTAGTGCGAAAGTGTAATCTGATCTGACAAAATATATTAATCACCACTATTTAACACATGTCTGGTCATTGGAAATATAAAAAACAATCATTAATTGTACATCTGTAAACATCTGGTTATTCAATTAAAAGTTCATCTTTGTACGAGAGCTGGGAGAACATGTCCGTCAGTCTTCCTGACTCGTTCTCCTCCTCCCTTTATGACACCGAGTGTCTCCCTTACGCAAAGAAAATATATTTCCCCATATATTAACTGTCAATATATTGCATTATTTTGTTTTCTGATTTACTGGTTAATTGAAAAGATTTAATAAAGGAAATCTTGCTGTTGGCTACACCAACTGATACTGATTAATAATCAACATGAAAAACATATTTATTCATATCTACAAAATATATTGAAGATATATAGAATAATATATTGTGTTAATATATTACAATATATTGATATATAGAATAATATATTGTGTTAATATATTGCAATATATGGGATAATACATCAGTAATTGCCGCTTTCCATATATTGAGTAATATATGTAAATATATATAATATATTGGTTGTGTATATATGTGAACATACATTTACTATATATTAACATTTATATGGGGACATGTATGTACTCTATATTCAGATTTATATGGGGACATGTATGTAGTATATATTCACAATTATATGGGGACATGTATGTACTATATATTCACAATTATATGGGGACATGTACTATATATATTCACAATTATATGGGGACATGTACTATATATATTCACAATTATATGGGGACATGTATGTACTATATATTCAGATTTATATGGGGACATGTATGTACTCTATATTCAGATTTATATGGGGACATGTATGTAGTATATATTCACAATTATATGGGGACATGTATGTACTATATATTCACAATTATATGGGGACATGTACTATATATATTCACAATTATATGGGGACATGTACTATATATATTCACAAATATATGGGGACATGTATGTACTATATATTCAGATTTATATGGGGACATGTATGTACTATATATTCAGATTTATATGGGGACATGTACTATATATATTCACAATTATATGGGGACATGTATGTACTATATATTCACAATTATATGGGGACATGTACTATATATATTCACAAATATATGGGGACATGTATGTACTATATATTCAGATTTATATGGGGACATGTATGTAGTATTCACAATTATATGGGGACATGTATGTAGTACATATTCACAATTATATGGGGACATGTACTATATATATTCACAATTATATGGGGACATGTATGCGCTATATATTCACAATTATATGGGGACATGTATGCACTATATATTCAGATTTATAAAAGACCATGTACGTACCATATATTCTGAACATGAGTGCAATATATGTTCACAATGAGGAGAAATGCATGTTCTGATAAAAAAAATCTTTCATTTCATTTCAAACCTTTATTTATGCAGGTGAATCCCATTGAGATCATTGATCTCTTTTTCAAGGGTGACCTGCTGCAAGTAGGTTCCACATGAATACATATAAGCATAACAGAAAAACAAAAAAGGACATCATACAGCATATTTACAGTGACTACAGTTTACATAGCTAGTAACATTTACAGGTTCCAACAGTTTCCGATTGGATAGCATCTATCCTTGCTTTAACCTGTTTCACACCTTCCCCCCGGTACCGGGCGGATAAACGCGTCATTTGCAGGAAACAACGTCTAAGGAATCTTAATATTGAATAAAACTATGAATGTGTTATATCCATGTAACGGGAAGAAACTCAGCTAACTGATCTTTTTAATTTTTTTTTTCAAAAAAACCCCACAATGCTAGCACTCAGCCTCTGAATTAGCCTCGATCGAAAAAACGGGACCGACAAAGGCACTTAAACTCACTCATAACTCCCTTATTACTTATCCTAGATGCACAACCAAACACTCTTTTTTGGTGTCCTGGAGACACTGAATCTACCGGTGCCCACCTCAACACTCAGTGATAAACATTCGCGACGCTATCAACGAAAGCGTACATCATCACATGTGGAGCTAAGAAGCTAAACATGTAAATATGGCTTACCTTGGTCAAAAGTGGTCTTCAATGGCATTAAAACGATAAAAAAACGATGCTGCAGT